GGCATGCATAAAGCAGCAGACCAGGAACAGATCCATATATTCTTTTGTCCATCATAAGACAATGCATCTTTGAGCAAAAAAGAAAGGCAAATGATGTTCACGTGTCATGACTACTAATGGCATAGCCAGCAAACTTTAGACATTGCAGTGCCTTGCAAACTTAGTGCTCCCCTTGATGGTGTTTTTTTAATGCTAGCTTTAGATCTGTGCTGCACTACACTACAAAATATGAACATAGATATGTTCAAAATTATAAAGTTGGCATTGGCTATAGATACTGTCATTAAAACACATTTTTCTAGCATTACAGTTTTTATAAATCCTAAAGCCAAACCATTTTCAAGAAAACAGATGGTCAGCCAAAACCAACCATCGAAGGCAGTAATACAAACCTTTGCACGTGGATGTTCATTGGCAGTACCATCCATTTTAGCTATCACAAGGGAGTCAACGCCACGTAGATGCTTGGCTAGTTTGTTGTAAGTAGGCTCCAGCGATTGACAGTGCCCACACCATGGTGCATATATCTACATCCAAACAGCATGTCATTATTAGTAACAAACAAGTCCTATTTTCATAAAGTGATAAATGCATGGCTGGCCCCCACTGTGCCTAAAGCTGAGTTTGCGCTCCTTTTGTCACTTTGCAACATTGCCCCTGCTGTTCCTGAAATTTTGCACCGTTGCCCCTAGTTTGTGTAAGCAAAGTATCGGCAATGGTGAAAACATATTGAGAACAGCTGGGGCAACGGTGCAAAGTGAAAGAAAAAAAGCGAGGGAAAATTAGCCCACAAAGTGGGGGCAACCATGCCGATGTCCTTTCTTAAATGCCTGCCAAAGTGCCAAGAATAGACCTCCAGAAGTACATCTTTTGATTCATCCAAAACTATTAGATCCAGATTCTTCCCAACAACAATTTTGACATCCCCATCATTCTGTGTGGAAACACAAGTACAATGTCTCAGTAATGCGAACTGAGTGAAGAATAGGGATATATCAGATAATTTTCATGAGTTGAGACTCACAGATTCAGGTACTGGTTCAGACTTGTAGAATGGTGTAAGCTTGTCTTCCAAGAAACCTTCAGCAAAGTCCTGTCAAGAGCCGAAATATTGTAGGTATTAAATAGATGAGGTTTTGTAAAGAAATGTCACCAACTCCCTAGTCCCACCTCCCTAGTACTAGCAGAATCCCACATCAGTGACAAAATACTGAAACTAGGGGATTGGTGTGCCTATCTATGAGAGAGAGAGAGAGAGGATCACACTGGTTTGCCACATAGGCAAGTGCAAATTCATTAAGAGACCTCGAACAGTGTAGATAGTTACTAGCTATAAGATTGTCCATGTAAGAAATAGAGAGCACAGTACATTAGCTCTCCAATGGACTACCTATAGCACGCTCTTCAAAAAAATACGGGTCTACATATAATAGGGGTATTAAATGCTGATGCTTCTTTAAGTGTGTTATAGACTAGCTACTAACTAGTAGTTAGCTTTCCTCTCTCTTCTTTCCTTCTCCCCTCCACATATGCAAAATGATGACAAGGATCCTATATGGCCAGCTGAGGTGGCATTTTTTTTTCTCGAACACGCAGGAGAGCTGCGTATCATTGTATTAGTAGAAGAAAAGGAGTCATACATAGACCCAAACACACACACCCACACCTCCGCACCTTCCCAGTTTTCTAAGTCTTAATCACATATTTCTGGAAGTACAACGACCGAGCGGGCTAAAACTAAAAGCCCCTAGCAGTGAGCAAGGATAGACCCTTTGCTCCTGCCATACACCACCAATGAGCTTCATCCCTAGCTAGACTCAAGACTGTGGCAATGCTTGGTGCAGCCCCATTGAAGACACAGTCATTCCGGTGTTTCCAAATGCTCCAGGTGCCAAGGATAATGATAAGAGTTTAGGAGCTGAGGTGGCATTGTTGGGGCGCTCTAAGAAGATTTGCACTCAAGTGGCACACAGCACACTTAACAAGTTTTGGGACCAAATCTGCATTTACGGTGCTTAGGGGGCCTGGACATGACACCGTTGATCCATTTTACTCAACAGAAAACCAAGTCAAGTAATGGTTAGTGAAACTCACAAATCAGCTTCAAATTAATAACATGACGAACACTCACTGTTAACCATTAGCACTAGTCCATTAGTTCTTATTTCTCATACGGTGCATAATATATTTCAGCAATTACCTTAATGGCTTCAAGTGACGCCTCACCATCAAGGAAAAATTTCTTAGCATCTTCATTACCAGTGTAAGCAAGAACCTGCAGAGGAATGCAATTGGAATTTACAAAATAATAATATAAAGACATGAAACCAGGTTAATGATGTAAGAAAAAAAGGTATTACTGTGGTCTCTTGTCCAGTAATACCAAAGTAGTCGGCAACTGGTTCACCAACTTCCTCATTGTCTCGCTCCACAAAGACAAATAATAGCTGCATATACGTGAACACACCTAATCAATGATTCACAAAACACTCACACCAAGAAGTATTAAGAACAAAAAAAATAGTACAAGGAAAAACAACCAAAGAGTTGGAATAACTTGAACATAGAACAAAGCAAAGGATAGAGGTCCAAACAAAATCAGTGGGTCAACAATGTAAGTGAGCTTAATCGCATGAGATTAGATTGATTGAGTCTCTCGGGGGAGGTATACAGACATAGCAGAAGCATCGCAAATGGTCAGACTGAGGCTAATAGTGTGTGATTAGATTGATTGAGCCTCTTGGGCGGTATATATAGAGTACAGAGACTTTGGGGCAAGTTGCCTCCCTAGACACATACGACAATACTGGATTACAATCCTAATTACCAAATATAAATTCTAACAAACAGAATGAATTACCTTTCCCTTAAATGGCTTTGCTGCTTCCTTAAAGATGGGCAGAAATTTGGAAGACTCGCTTGCAACAGCAAATAGTAAAATCTGACTTGCAAAACAAAGACAGTATCTCAATGAAGGAACAGTATATGGACAAAACAATGTTAGAATACAGAAAAGAGATCCGATAGTAGGCAACATGACATGCCTGCTTCTTGATTGGATTGCCAAAAATAGAAGGGGAAGTTTCTTGAGTTAGTGTGGTAACCAAAGGAAGCTTGTTAGCAGACACAAAATTGGCAATGGCTGATGCTTTAAACTCCCCATCTGCATCATACACATTGAATTATATCTGTTAATAGGTGCAAATTTTTTTTGAAACGAAGGCTGATACTGAAATCTAGAATGACTTAGAGATGAAGACACCTACCATAGAAGGTCAACTTCTCCTCCTCTTTCTTCAGCAGTACTACGGATGGCCGCTTTGCTGCTGCATCGATGTGGAAAAGCTTAGCAACATCGGGAGTCGTAGTCTGATAAAAGTTGATGCTATCTTCCAGCCTTGAAGCAGCAGCAAGCTCATTACTGTGAGCACCCTATATAGCATTTGAAAAGAAGGAAGTTCCAATAATAATTAAAAAAGGGTCCACGGTCTCAACATACAAGTCATCATCTACTAATCATTTTTGCTGTTGCGAGCTATTTTCAGCCACTAACTTTGGTCCTCAGGACATGGAAGTAGAACATTTAACCTCACTTGCAGGTTATATTATTCAAGTGTGATGAAAAAAAAAAAACTAGCATATATAATAAGAAGCAGGCTTGGTTTCTTCCTCCGAGAAAAATCCTATACTAGCTGCTGTGCCTTTCAGGTTTAAGATGTGTTGTACGGAAACTGTCAGTTAAACTCAATAATAATTGGATTTGAAAGGTGGCTAGTGCCTGTCAAAGTGTAGAAACTAAAATGAAGTGATGAACAGAAAATACTCCAAAAATAATTTAGAAGGGTAATGGTTCGTTCGTACGGATAGAGTGTCGAGGAAGGCAAGGACGGCTTTGTCATCCCCGGTGAGTATCCTCTCGGCCTCGTCGACGCTGGTGACATTTTGCACGGCCGGGCCGAGCTTCTTGTTGATCCAGTCGACGATGGCGTCCTTGGTCCTGGCGCCGTTGTAGTCCTTGGGGACGCCGTCGATGAAGAAGAGGATGGTGGGGAAGCCCTGGACGTCGTACCTCTGGGCGAGGTCGGTTTCCTCGGTGGCGTCGACCTTGGCGAGGGCGAGGTCGGCCTGGTGAGGGTGGGCGGCGAGATGCGCGGCGGTGGCGGCGTATTCCGGGGCGAGCTCCTGGCAGTGGCCACACCAGGGGGCGTAGAACTCAACCATGACATGGCGGGTGGCGGCGAGGAAGGAGGAGAAGTTGGCGGCGGTGAGGACCACGACGTGGGTCTCGTCGATCTGCGGCTGGTGGCCCAGGAGGTCCTGGTCCTGATCTTGGAAGAGAAGGTCGTCGTCGTCGTCGCCCTCATCAGGCCACCCGTCGGGTTCGTTGGCGGGGATGTCGTCGGAGTTGTCAATAAGGTACTGGAGGTCGTCCACCTCCTCCTCAGCCTTGTTGCTTCCGGCGGCAGCAGCGGCGGCGGTGGCGAGGAGGAGGAGCAGGAGGACGACGGGGAAAGATGGAAGGGACATTGTTGTTGATCCCATTCCGTGTCACCTGATGCTGCTTCTGGTGTGCTCCAGCGAGAGAAATTGGATGCAGAGATGAGATCCGTGCTGGGCAGGGGTGCTGAGCAGTGGGCAGGCCATCTTCTCCGGCGGGGACTGAGGAGTATCATCAGTCAACTTCTCATGCTTGTCACGTGACTTCCCTTCCCTTCCCTTTCGTGGGCTGACTTCCCTTTCCTTTCCTTCCCTTTCATGGGCCTGGCCTTCAGGAGAGAGGAAGAAGGGCAGCCCATACTTACCCACCTATGAGCGGCCCATGCTGGTGTGTCGCTCACTGACAGTGGGCGGGGCAGCGTAGAAGGCACTAGAAGGAAGGAGCAGCCGCCAGCCGATCACGTGACTTGTTCACCTACCCCTTCCCTCTCCACTCCATCAAAAAGCACAAGGAAGGAACACGACCCTAACTAAACCCTAGCGAAGGGAACGGAACCAAGACCATGGATGCCTCCAAGCTCCGCGACTTCGTCGAGGCGTGCAAGAAGGACCCTTCGCTCCTCGCCGACCCCAGCCTCGCCTTCTTCCGGGATTACCTCCAGAGGTCCATCTCCCATCCCCTCCCTCATCGCTATTTCTTTCGATTCGCCCCCATCATCCTTCATTCCTTCTGATCGGAGGACCTTTTTTTGCAGTCTGGGTGCCAAAATTCCCGCCGCCGCCGCCGCCTCCTTCGACAAGCCCAAGGTAACATTACCCATCCATCTTCTCCTCTATCACCCCGCGTAGTAGAGACTAATTACCTGCTCGAATCCTTCTTTTTTTTCCAAAAAAAAGAGAGTAAATAAGACCTACAGCCAAAGAATCTTCTTCTTTGCAAAGCATGTGATATTTTTTATGGCACTTCAATGAAATTACTAGGGCGCAGAGAAAAAAATTACTGAATTGCTTTTCCCACTCCGTAGCATTCACACCACACTTATGGCTTCCTTGTCGTGTGCTGGCCGTCCAAGGTCCTTTCTTGAGTCCTTGTCTGTTCTTACAATTATGCACTGCAGAGATCTTCCATGGACGACATTGATGATGATGATGATGATGACGACGACGACGATCTGGATATGAGAGATCCCACTCCTGAGCCAGACGAGGTCGATGAAGAGATTGTTGAGTCTGATCTTGAGCTTGAAGGAGACATTGTACAGTCTGACCATGATGACCCACCACAGAAGGTAGCCTCTACTCCATCCTCTTGCCACTAACATGTTCCCTTTCCCTTCTGTGAGGATCGTAGCGGCAAGGGAGATGTGCTGCTAAGTCCGTTTTTGCCATGGCAGATGGGAGATCCTTCGGTGGAGGTGACTGAGGAAAATCGTGATGCCTCTCAAGAAGCAAAAGGCAAGGCTATGGAAGCAATGTCTGAAGGTACTCTCCTTCCTCCCACTCTCTTCGGAATTGATCCTCTTCTGGCCCTTGGCTTATCGCCATCTCGATCATGTACGACTCTTCAATCCGTGTCACTGTTGGTCTTGTCATCTCAGGAAAACTCGAAGATGCTATTGAACACCTTACCAGCGCAATAGTGCTGAATCCACTCTCAGCAATCATGTATGGTACTAGAGGTAAGCGGCAGACACTACATGCCAAATGCAACCACCTATGCATGATGAATCACTCGTCACAGACACTAATCATGTTGGGGAATTCTTATGTTTGTACAGCATCTGTGTTTATAAAAATGAAGAAACCAGCTGCTGCCATTCGTGATGCCAATGCTGCTCTAGAGGTGATAGCTTTGTGTCATCTTGTATTTCTTGTGTTTTCCTTGAGCAAAAATGTTATGTTACACATTCTTAGAAGATGCCAATAGGCATACTTGAGATCTAAAATGCTGGACATGATGCACCTAACCTATCATTTTGTTTATTTCTACCCCCCAGATCAACCCGGACTCTGCAAAAGGTTATAAAACTCGTGGAATGGCATATGCCATGCTTGGCAAATGGGAGGAAGCTGCTCGTGATCTGCACACAGCATCTAACATGGATTATGATGAGGAGATCAGCGCTGTGCTCAAGAGGGTGAATTTCTTGAGAACTAGCTTTATAATTTGCATGGCAAGCTTATTAGCTCATTATCCTGTATTCGGTAATAACTACTCTCATTATCTCTGTATTCGGTAATCTTGCAGGTGGAGCCTAATGCTCACAAGATAATGGAACATCGCAGGAAGTATGAGAGGCTGAGAAAAGAGAGGGACGAAAAGAGAGCGGAGCGTGATCGGCTTCGTCGACGTGCAGAGGCACAGGTAATTCACACTAAGGAAGGCCTCCATGCATTTCCCTCTGGAGGATGCTTCTTACGGTTACATCTGAACCAAATGCCTTGTGTTTTATTTTACCAGGCTGCTTATGACAAGGCCAAGAGGAAGGAGCAATCGTCAAGTCGCTCATCAGGAGGTGCATCTCCCAGAGGCTTTCCTGGAGGGATGCCCGGTGGAGGTTTCCCTGGAGGGATGCCCGGTGGAGGTTTCCCTGGAGGCATGCCTGGTGGGGGTTTCCCTGGAGGGATGCCTGGGGGTTTCCCTGGGGGTGGCATGCCTGGAGGTTTCCCTGGGGGTGGCATGCCTGGAAATGTTGATATGAGTAAAATCCTGAATGTAAGTGATTAACGGGTTCCTGCCTTGCTTGGTTATGTTATTTTTTATCCACTTTATACACATGAATCTCCCTTTTGTACAATGATCTGCTTTCTTTGTTTGCCAGGACCCTGACCTGATGGCAGCATTCAGTGACCCAGAGGTCATGGCGGCGCTGCAAGATGGTATGTTTCTGGTTTCCCACACCAATCTTGTGATGCTAGTTTATTTTCAAGTTTGGCTTCCTATTTGCTGTGGTATCTGAATAATGTCTTCGTCAATTCTGGTGCAGTGCTACATAGGTTCTTACTTGTTATTTGAAATTAATGTTATATATACTATTTCTATATTTGGGCATCAGAATGAACAATGCTTGTGAGGATTGTTGGTAGTGTGATTAAAATGGTTTGATTGTGATTTAAGAAGAATCTACTTTAAAACAGTGCTAGTTAGCTACAGAAACCTGCGTGATCAATCAAGCGATTTGAATGATCCATGTACTATAACAGTCCCATTCGAGCACAGGTAGATATAGTTAACATAGCATTTCCACACGAGACCCTTGCTAACAGTAGTATGTTGTTAAGACATGAAGCTGCGCTGTGCAACCTGTTTTTCTTAGTTATAGAATTTACATGCAGATTCAGTGGTTTTATGTTGAGATGTGAAGCTGTGCTTTGTTACCTGTTTTTCTTGGTTATGGAATTTGCATTTGCACATAGATTCAGTGACAGTGATTTGACCCAGTATGTTAAAGACAGAGCTGCGTCATTTCACCTGCCTGTTTTACTTGGCTATATAGAATCAATGTACACATCATTGATTTGACCCATTGTTTTAATGCCTGATTCCAGTGATGAACAATCCTGCCAACTTTGCTAAGCACCAAGCGAATCCCAAGGTGGGCCCTATCATCGCAAAGATGATGGCCAAGTTCAGTGGGTCCCAGTGATGGTTGTGTGGCAGTCAGGTTGTGAGCAGCAAGCAAAGGCTCGTTGGACAATGAACAGGTGTTTTCTTTTTGTGCATCTGGGGGTGCGTTTAGCTTTTGATGAAGAACATGAGTGAGCGTTTGTTTTTTTTTGTGCATCTGGAGGTGCGTTGAGCATGTGATGAAAAAACACCAAATGGCTCGATGGGGATGTATGCAGAAAGTTGCTTTCGAATGTGAACTGGTTGATGGGGATATTTACTCACTATTCTCAATTCACAGATGCTTTGACGACAGTTTCTTGTACCTGTCTTGTGCTGAATTATAGAATGCTTGTGTGCTAGTCTCCCTACCTGTTATGTTGTATTATGGGGAAGTTTGATGCTGACGGCGGTGGAAGCTGTGGGTGATTGCTGATTAGGAGCTTATTGTATGTATATTGTTCTTGTTTTTGCGTATGCATACGCCATTCTGGTGCCTTTATATGCTTGGGAGAGCATGGTGCGCAGGCTGGGTCAGTGAGTGAGGTGTGATTGTGATGGATACTGTTATTTGTGGTTAATTAGGTAACTCAGGAGTCAGGAATTGATGCTAATGAGAGTCAGGATCAGGAGTTGGATGCTGAGAAGTGAGAAGCATGTATCTCACCTCATCTTGTCTCCCGTAGTCTAAGAGCTGGTGAAAAGTGCAGACAAGTCAATAAAATGCTGCCATCTTTTTCGTTTGGCAAAGAAGATGATAATGCAGCCATCCTTTTCGTTTGGCAAAGAAGATGAGAGACCTTGGCTAATCCCAGCCAATGCGATGGAGCATATTTTCAACTGAACTGACATGGTAGAACAGCATATTCTTTGAGAAACATGCTTTTTAGTTTTACCCGTAGAATCCAGCAACGAGGAAATCAATTATAGTCTGAATATTACATGTCTTTTATATAAAAAACCATAGGGCAGCGTTATCAATAATACAGTGGTGTAGATAGACGTACTAGATGGGAAATTGTGTGAATGTTCTGGGTGGATTCCAATTGATCCACTAGCTTTTTTCTTGCGTTGTATGTCTGTGTGCTTTGCCTTTATAATCTTGTCTCTTGTCTGGCATGGCATGAATCATGATTGACCACCACCACCACAGCACACCCATGGAAATGGAATCCTGCAGCTGCAGGGCTTTTGGGAAAGGAAGACAGGGACTACATACCCTTGTTCTTATGTGATATAACAGTGATGATGATGATTGCAGTTTCAGCTCTATTCCGTGTGTCAGCCGATGCTTCCTCGTCCTGCCGGTTTGCAAACTGCGACGTTTTGGACATGGACACGAACTCCAAAATATGATTTTCGCCACTGTATACTTTTATATTAGAATATGAATGAGCATGTAACAAATTTACGTCCCGGTGAAAGTACTTTTTTCGATCAAGACAAGTCTAATTACTACTTGTCTATATGTTGATGATTTTCGGATGTAGTATGGAGCCTGCCCTGTGACTTGTGCTTCAGCTTTACGCCATGCAAGAGTGTCGTTCGTTCATTCATTCATCCTTCTTTTATCTCCGATCCACGTCTCGGCCAACTTTTACAGCTTTATTTTTATCCTTATTTTTTAGCATCTCCTGGTCCTGAATCGCCCCATCCATCACCATCCAGCCGCTGCAAGAGCAGAGCATTATATGATGCATCATGCGCATGCGCAGCAGCCAAACTAAGTAAAGGAGCTAGCTAGCTAGGGAGATGTCTCTGATCACGGGTGATCCTGAGGATTCCCCAAGGGACTGTTCCAGGTCCTCCTCCCGTCCGCACAAGCACCACCACCATCACCACGGCAATCGACGTCGTCGGGCTCTCATCGCCGTCTGCTCCACCGTGGCGTCGCTGCTGTCGCTGGCCCTCATCCTGTGGCTCACCCTCCGCCCCTCCAGCCCCAGCTTCTCCCTGCTCGCCGCCACCGCCACGGTAGCCAACGCCTCTGCCGGCGCCGCTACTATAATCACCGTCGACGCCGCGCTCACCGCCCACAACCCCAACGCCCGCGCCACCGCTCTCTACGACCAGCTCCAGGCCACCGCCCCCTACGCCGGCGTGCCCCTCGGCGCCGCTGATGCCCACGCCCTTAGAGCAGCCCGAGGGCGACGTGGTTCTGTCGGCCATGCTCACGTCCAACTCCGCCGCGGGAGCTGGAGGTCGCCGTCGTCGCCGCCTGAGCGTGCGCTGCTCAGGGTGCGCATCCAGGGGCTGCTCCGCTGGAAGGTGTCCGCCTGGGTGTCCGCCACGCACGGCCTCACCGTGGACTGCATCGCCGCCGTTCTGCTGCAAGCGCCGGCGATCCCACTCCCACCAGGACAGCTGCAGGAGCAGGGGTCCTCCTTCCCCTCCCAGTCGTCCCAGTGCGCCACCCACGTCCAGTGAACTGAAGATCCATCGTACCTTCAGCTTCATCCATCAATAATGATGATGATGGTACATACGGCCGTTAAGTTGTCATCCATGACTAATGACACTAGTAGTCCTAATACGGTCCTAGCTACCTAGCCTAGCCTATAGCGGCCGTATATGTGCACTGTTCGCTTGGTTGATAAGCCATAACTGAAAGTACCGTTGGCTAATTTATTGTGAGAAAAAAAATATTGTTCGTTTGCTGAAAAAGTACGGCTTATAAACCAAGTGAACAGCATGATAGTCGATCGGTGATTAACATCTACAGTCATTGCAATCAATACTATAATTCAATTATGTATGTATCTCATTTTCATCTACTATGATCTAGGTACCTTAATTAGTTTTGTGTCTTGTGAGATGCGGTGTATATACTAATACAATATATATTCCATCAAGTTATGTACATGTCAACGAGTATATATGTATGCTAATAAAAAATATTTATTCTTTTTGCTCGACTAACCACTTCCTACTAGCTCTCCTTTGATAATCTCTTTTCGACTAAATAGCTAGCTCCACCCCTTTTAATTAAGGGGGAAATAAAATTAGAGCTCTATTTCCCCTGCTTGACCCGTTTTTTCCCTAATTTTATGAATTTTTAGGCTCTTCTGTTTTTATTAGGATTTTTAACTTTTTGCCATCCTTACGGACGACACTCCTGCACAATTGCTAGTGACATGCTCTACAAAAAATAGTTAGTAATATATACCCTGACACTATTATTTCTCTGAGTTCTAGCTCTAATCCATTTGCATCCTTGTGATTTACAATATCCCCTGAACCTTGACTTGTCAGATTTCTCAGTGCCCAACTCAAACTCATTGAGTATATAGTATGTTGCTTAACTGCCACTCTAAATTGAGGCATTAATGGATACAGTGTGCCTACAGACATGTCCGGATTGTCTCTATCATAGAAAAACAAGCTAGGGCTCAGTTGCTTCATTGTCATCAACAGGGATAGCTGTTGCATCCATTTCTTCTTGCAACTCAGGAGGAATCTCTAGCACTGGAATCTCTTCTGGACCATCACCGCCTGCTATCCCCTCATCTGCAGCTTTGAAGCCCATGGCTTTATAGATTTGTTCCTCATCCACTAACACAGTAGCATCCCCATCCAAGTCTTCCTCAGGTATTATTGTGAAAACTGACCAATCAATAACAACATCATCTAATTTAATATGGTCTGGATTGCTACAAGCATCATCTGTGCTCTACTGTTACACCAGATGTGGCATGAACACTATGCTCATTTGGCACATTTGCCTTTCCTGCATCTCTGTTGTTTCTGGATGAGACCTTGTCCTTGTCAAGCACTTCATAGCTCACATCCATTTTCTTCTCATCCCATCTAGCCTTTATCATCTCTCTGAATTGCTCATCAGTAGTAACCTTCCATTCTGCCCTACTTTCTTTGTCCAGACCCCCAAAGAATTAGTTGCTGGTCCCTACCCCAAATGATCTTTCTAGCCATTTCATCCACAAACTTAGACATAGAGCAGTGACGGGTAAGATCAATCCAAACATCATGGTCCTGGTCATCCATTTCGACAGATCCATAATCAACATTGGTTGTGTACTTAGCAACGCTAACATGATTCTAAACGCATTGTCAGGATCAATCCTGACATAATCATAAACACATAAACAAAACATGTAGGAGTTAGGAGACATCCAACTCCAAAACACTATGGGATCTCATAAACTACAGCACATCGAACTTACTAAGGAGGGCAGTCAGTCCACTTCATCTTAACGCATGCGTATGAACAACAAGGGCTACCGCAACATCACTACAATCAAATCAACCACCAATCAAATCGAACCCGAATCAAATCGAAACCTTAGCATACGAGATTGGGGAACGAAATTGGGGAAATAGGGTTTAGGGGAGTGCGGGCAGTACTTAGTATGGTCATCATGCGTCCAAGGAAGGGGAAGGGGAGGCGCCGCCGCCGTCGCCGTCGCCAGAGAAGATAATGGGGGAGACGGGCTCAATTGCAGGAGTGAACTGGGTTTGACCCGGGGGGTTGGCTGGAGACAAAAGAAGGAGGTGAGGGCAGCGTGGTCATTTCCCGTGCCAAGTTAGGGCTTCCAGGCTCGCTGCCACGCTGGCGTGCCCACCTGGCGTGCCACGTCAGCGAAAATGGCAAAAATGCAGGCGGTTTACTGTTTGCGATGGCAATTGTGTAGGAGTACGCGTAAAGGTGGCAAACAAAGGAGTGTCATCCCTAAGGATGGCAAAGAGTTAAAAATCTCGTTTTTATTACCACATATTGTTTTTGTTTCCCTTCTCCTATAAAGAAAATTTCCTCTCCACTATTTGTGTGTGTTGCTCGCTAACGAAAGAAGTCCTTTTTTTAAACACGCACGAAAGAAACAGCTTTCTAAATGGTTGTTTAGCGTACATGGTGCCCACTCCAGCCATCCTATACGAAGCACCACGTCAGCCTTGTGGGTGGTAAACTTGGTCGTGTTAATAGTTCAGCGGTCAATGAACTTAACAAAAAAAAATTCAAAAAATATACAAATATTTTTTCTTGAAAAAGTTATGCACAGTCTAATCGGCTATCTTTTTCTTGGCTGCTGCCCGCTAGGCCGCTAGAACAAAGGCAGCCGATCGGATTGATCCTAAAATCTAGTTTAATACTCCTTTCATACCATAAAGCATGTAAATCTCATTTTTTAAGTTAGATTAGTGAGAGTGTGAAAGTACACATGTGCCCTTCTTGTATCTTTCTCAACATGCGTCAGAACTCAAGAGCAATTAATCATACTAGAACGACAGTGATACCCTCAGGGCGTCCGTCCTTCCGGACCACGCGCCTCCCACCGTGGCCACGATCCATCCGTCTGCCGCAGCCACTTCCGAGGTTTGTGGCCCGTGGGTGACCACCTCCGCGCCACTCCGTGTCATCGAACTCCGCGCCGACGTTGAGCTCAACGTTAACGAGTCTCTATTGGGTAGCAGTAAGTAGATGAGCACATGTTGCAACCGTATGCTTTATATATTTCAGATGTATGTTGCATATGTTTAATCTGGATGTTGTAAAAGTAAATATGGTGTTGTTGCAATGGCTATCCACGTATGTTCAGCCTGTTCGTTTGTTGGTTTCAGCCATGGCTTATCAGCCATGATACAATGTTTTTCTCTCACAACAAACCAGCACCAGCCGGACTTATCAGCCCAGAAAT